CGAATCAAGCCACAGTCCCTGCTCCATCCCTGGCTTTGGAGCTCTAAGTTTTTGTTGCCCTGACAATAAAGGAGCAATAAGCCTTGCCTTGAACCCAAGGAGAAAGTCAAAAGTTTAACTGTAAGTCTGGGAAACTTAAAAATAGCAAAAACAAAACATACAGGGAGACATATTAATCTTCCCCGGAAATGCAAATTCAGTCCACCTCGAGATACCATTTTACACTGACTAAATTAGCAGAACAAAGTAAAAATAAATTCAAATGCACATTTCTGGTGGCATTGTGGTGAATATTGGGCTCTCTTAACCTGCCTATTTAAATATAAATTTCTTAACACAAGGGAAAAGCAATATAGTAACACACAGTGGAAGCTGTAAATACACCCTTGCCCCCTGGCCCATTAATAAAAGTGAGTCTGAATAAATTAGTTTCAGAGAAGATTTGGGGATGACATTCTGAACTCTTAAATTTCACTAGGCAGAAAACATATATGTAGCATAAATAAATATGTAGTGGCTACCAAGAAACTAGAACATATTGTTGAAAGATTGGAAGGGCTCTATCGTATAAGACAGAAGACTAGTATTGAACAGTTTGCACTGTTGCCCAAAGCTTGGTCTTCTGACTATCCACATCCAGATTGCCTGGGGCTTCGTTGACAGGTGCAAAGCTGAGCCTGGCCTCAGCTTGAGAAGCAGTTTGTGTGAGGTGGGCCTTCATTTTAAATAAATTCTCCAGGTGTCTTCATGCCTCCCAAGTATGAGAGCACTATATCGAAACTGTTCCTTCATGCCCTTTTGGGGGATAGAATTTGCCATTTGGGGATAGCNTATTGTTGAAAGATTGGAAGGGCTCTATCGTATAAGACAGAAGACTAGTATTGAACAGTTTGCACTGTTGCCCAAAGCTTGGTCTTCTGACTATCCACATCCAGATTGCCTGGGGCTTCGTTGACAGGTGCAAAGCTGAGCCTGGCCTCAGCTTGAGAAGCAGTTTGTGTGAGGTGGGCCTTCATTTTAAATAAATTCTCCAGGTGTCTTCATGCCTCCCAAGTATGAGAGCACTATATCGAAACTGTTCCTTCATGCCCTTTTGGGGGATAGAATTTATGCCATTTGGGGATAGCATTAGAAGGAATATTATCTTTCTCAAGTTGCTGTAGTTTTTTTTTTTTTTTATGATGTTTTCACAATTGGTAAGAGACAAAAGTTGTAATTTTCCTGGAGCACTTCAGAGAATAGTCATTTTAATTATAGTTGTCGTAACAGTCCCCCATTAAGGTGCATAAGCTTATCTCATCTATGGGGGTAGGTTAAATATCAAGAGAGAAAAGCCTGGCACTAAGAAAAGGGCATTCATGTCATTATTAATCTTCCTGGTAATAGATATTTATGGCATATTTAAGAACCTTCCATTATTAACCATTCCAAGTCCCCTTGGGTACCTTGTGAAGCACACTTCTGCCTCCGGGCTTGGGAGGTTGGGATGACTAATAGGTGGCTGGAGTTCTGTCACTTGGTTTAGGGAAAGCTGTTCTGAAGGCTGAACCAGAGATGTTAAATCCCAAAGCTTCCAAATATTGTGCCCTTAATCTGGAGGGAGGGACACACACGTGGGCACGGACGCCTCAGAGCGGAATTGGGAAGACAGGCGGAAACGCTCGGTTCTCACCACGTCACCCCTCCTTGCCCTGTGCAGTCATTAGCACAACTAAAATCGCTGTCGTAAAACTAATATGTATTTCTGTCTCAAGACATTTCAATGACAATTTAACCAACCATGGGCCAGCCTAGCAGACTTTCTGATCTTTTAAGAATTTTTTTTTTTTTTTCTGGCTGTATCAGAAACATCTTTATCACCAAGTTGTATATCAGAGATATTGGCCAAGGGGATTTTTTTTCAAAGGTGAGCTTCCCATGCCAGTTTATGTTTACTTCATGTCCAGCTCAGTTACTGATTAGAAGGAGAGAGAATTACAATACGGGCACACGCATGTACACACACACATGCACACACACGCACCAAGTAATAGCCTCAAGGGGGAAAATACTGAATAGAATGGGGAAATGTTACAAGGTTGTGGAAGGCAAATATTGCTGCCGATGATGTCAGATGAGAGAGGCAGGAACTTCCCATTCATCGTCTTAGGTGTGAGGGAGATAAAACCAAAATCTGTCCTTAGTTTCCTATGAGCTCAAGGGCCTTGGAGTTTAGACAAAGGTGTGCAAGCTTCAGGGTCAAGAGATGTCTCAAAGATTTCGATTTTCCTAACAAAACACATAGTGGTTATAAAAGGACTTTCTGATTAAGGTCGATCCCTAAGATTGAGATTTCGCCAAGTAGATTAAGGATAAGAATGGATGGAAAAGGGTACTCAACTCAATCTCAGCCTTTATTATTATTTTTTTAAGTCTTGCTCTATATATGTTAGCATTTAAGCAGTACAAATATTTGTAGTTAACTATGGTAAGATGTCATAACCAAAACTACAATTTTATTTTTGTATTAAACTGTATATTTGATTGAAAAAAACCTCATAATTGTTTTCTGAATCTCTGGTAAAATGTGTCTTGTAATTTAACTCATGGACCACAGAAGTGAGACCCTGCGACTCATTTGAAAAAAATATTTTAAAATATGTTTTTATTGACTTTAGAGACAGAAGAAGAGAGGAGAGAGTGAGAGAAACATCAAAGGGTTGCCTCCCACACACACCCTGACCATGGACTAAACCCACAACCTGGCCATGTGCCCTGACTGGGAATCGTACTGGTGACCTTTCGGGGCATGGGAGGACACTCCACCAACTGAGGCACACTGGCCAGGGCGAAAAATAAAAAAATTTTCAAACTTTTGGGCAGGACCCTTCTGGTCATTTAGCCCTGTGTTCACGCACATACCTATGTCTTTTCCTCTTCCTCCTAAGAAATTTAAGATTACTTACAAATATAGATTACTATGATACAGTATTCTGAAAACATATAATTTAACTGGATATTTACATCTGTTAAAACTAGGGGGGTATAAGGGTCATTTATTGAATTTGGTTCTGTGAAATGGGTGTATTGTTGTTCATAACAATCTCCTTTCAGCCACGGCAGAGTTACGCAGATGAGGTGACTTTTGGAAATCACCTAAAGCT